TCCCTGAGCAGCTGGTTCACCATAAGTGTACCTCGCAGAACTTTTTTAACCCCCATGGGTAAAGATTCTGTGTTGCTCACTCCTCTCCCCTTCCCTGGTGTATTATGGATGATGTGAATATTCATATCGGTGACATGGCCCCTAACCCCCTAGTGCATCATCAAATGAAAATGAAATGAAAATGAATTCACTAGTCACTATTTTCGTCACTAAAGTCACTACTGTTATATAACATACACACTACCGGCCAAGTAACCTTGCAAAAGCATGACAAAAACTGCGTTAGTAGTACCGGAACATCGTTTATGCTTATGTTCTCTCAGTTAAAGACGATTTAGCTTCATTTCTTAGCTTCATTGTTTAGGCGGATGAAATTTGACGCATTTTCTTTCGCTCATATATTGGCCAAAAAAAGGCTATAGACCTTTTTGACCTCTTCGAAAGCGAAGACCTCGTCGTGCTCAATGACGTGGCAACCACCTTTTTCAATGGACGTCATGCCACAGCTATCGACGTTTCCGCTGTCAGCAGAGACGTTGCCGGCAAGTTGCAGTGGATCGTCGATTCGGATCTTTATGAAAGCGACCACTATCCGATCCAAATACAGCTACACGCCGCAGCCGCCCCAGAAACCACCCGTAGGCCACGCTGGAGGTATGATCAAGCCGAATGGGAAGTGTATAGGAACGCCATCCTCTCCGGTATTAACGAACAGGATCCCGACCTAACGAAGACAATCCTCGAAGCAGCCGTCGCTTCAGTACCTAAGACCAGCAGCATTCCCGGACGAAAAGCTCTCCGATGGTGGTCGGAAGAAACCAAGGCAGCGGTTAAGGCCCGACGGAAGGCCCTTCGTAAATTGAGAAGAACGAGACCAAACGATCCTGGCAGGGATGGCATCCTCGAACGTTATCGCGAATTGCACATCCAATGCAGGCAAATGATCCGAAGTGCCAAGCAGGAGAGTTGGACGAACTTCCTCGACAGTATTGATGCTTCCCAGTTCTCGGCATATCTTTGGAGCCGTGTGAACGCACTTAGTGGAAAAAGACGTTCGGCCCCGCTGCAGGTGCAGTCCGGAGGCATCACCGTATCCGAGCCAATAGCCGTTGCTGATGAGCTAGGCAAATACTTCGCGGAGCTTTCGGCTATCGCCGGATATAGCGAAAATTTCCGTCGCCGCTACAACGTCACATACGGCCTCCATAGGCAATTTCCACGTACCGGCCGACAACGATAACACCAGGATGAATGGGATTTTTTCGTGGGAGGAATTACAATCGCTCTCAGTAAGAGCAAGGGCAAATCGGCAGGTCCTGACGAACTCCGGTACCTCCTATTAACGCACCTACCGATTGAAGGCCAAGTCCGCATGATTGACCTCTTCAATGAACTTTGGACCACCGACTCCTATCCAGCATCGTGGAGGGAGAGCCTGGGCATCCAAATCCCGAAGACAAACGAAACCACGAAGGACGCGAAGAAATTTCGGCCCATCGCCCTCACTTCCTGCATGAGTAAGGTTTTCGAGTGGATGGTGAACCGCAGGCTGAAGACATTCCTGGAGACCAACAACTTGCTCGACGATCGACAACACGCCTTTCGACAAGGATGCGGCACCTCGACCTATTTCGCCACACTGGGAGACGTGCTGAAAGACGCCTTTGACCAGGGGCACCACACCGGAATTGTCTCGCTGGACATCTCCAAGGCATTCAATAGGACCTGGACTCCGGCCGTGCTTGCCAATCTCGTCAGTTGGGGACTCAAGGGACACGCAAGCTGCGGTCACAGCCGTCGTAAAATGGGCCGCAGCAGCTGGTTTTCAGCTCTCAGCCAGGAAAAGCGTTAGATACCACGTCTGCCCGTCACGACACAGGGTTAGCGGGGCTGCCATCAAGATTGCCGATCAAGCTATACCCGTTAAGAATTCCGTTCGGATCCTGGGTTGTACTTGTTGACCGCACGCTTTCTTTCGTGCCCCACTTCAATCAGGTGAAGAAGGACTGTCGAAGCAGGGTCAATCTGATCCGGACCATATTCAAGCCCTATTGTTCCAACAATCGGGCAGTTCGCTTTCGAGTAACGCAAGCTATCATCGATAGCCGGCTGTTGTACGGAACTGAGCTAACATGCATCAACTCGGAGAAGCAGGTTGAGATTCTCGGCCCAACTTTCAACAGCAGCATCAGGATCATATCAGGCCTCCTACCTTCCACCCCCGCAGATTCTGCGTGTGTCGAAGCAGGGGTTCTACCTTTCCGTTACCGCATTATTAATGCCACCATCTACAAATCGCATCTTTCGCCGCCAAGACAGCAGGAAATGGCAGAATCTTCCTCCTCGATGAGGGGGATAGAATTATGCAGACGATCGCCAGCATCGACCTCCCCCCGGTGGCTAGGATCCACTGGCACGGAGAGAAGAGTTGGCTCTCTTTCAGTATCAGAGTTGATCATCGCATAAAGAACCGTTTCAAAGCAGGAGACAACTCCGTGGCCCTTCGTCGCACAGTAGCCGAGTTGACTAGATCTGATTACGCCGAACATACACACCGGTACACCGATGGTTCCCGATCCAACACGGGCGTTGGCATCGGAGTATCCGGAAGTGGCATACTCGCCAGCAACAGCCTTCCGCCGCAGTGCTCCGTCTACTCGGCAGAAGCGGCCGCAATTTTCCATGCGGCCATGTGACCAGCTAATCAACCGATTCTTATTTTGACAGATTCCTTCAGCGCAATTAAGGAACTATGCTCAGCAACTCCCACCCACCCGTGGATTTAGGCTACCATAAAGTACGCCCCGAGCAGCACCGTTTTCGCATGGATACCCGGTCACTGCGGAATACCCGGAAACGAGGCAGCCGATCAACTCGCTGGAACTGGACCGTCGGGTCCCAGATTCACGGATAAAGTTCCACTCCAAGATGTCCGACGATGGATAAAGGCAACCGTGCAGAAGGCTTGGACCGACCAGTGGTTCAGCACCCGAGAGCCTTTCATCCGGAAGATTAAGGGAACCACGGAGGCATGGATGGACCTCCGAAACCTACCGGATCAGAGAGTGCTTTCGAGGCTGAGGACTGAACACTACCGGTTGTACTACAACTTTGGTGGAGAACCGTTCCGCAGGAGTTGCATAATCTGCCACGTTCCAGCGACCGTCGAACACGTCCTCTGTGTTTGCCCCGAATTCCAGGATCTCCGGGAGACTTACGAAATCACCTCCAGCATCCGGAACCTGCTCGGAGAAGACTCGCCTGCTGCCGACGCCCTCCTAGTCTTTCTTAGGGAGGCTAACTTGTACCACGATATCTAGTCAGATTATGTTTTTTAGCTTCGTTTGAATGTTAATTTTTTCTTTCGGCTGTCGGGATGGCACCGCACGGGATGAGCCTTTGGACCTCGTCACGGTGTCGTCTCGTTCAGATTATTGTTGCTTGTTTTTAATTTGTTCTGTTTTAACGAAGAGCCAGGAAAGCTGTTACCCCACAGCTTTAGTAGCCGGAGGGGCACCACATGGGATGAGTCGTTCGGCCCTCATGATGGTGTCCATCCCAGGTATAGTCAGTAAGGAAACGTTGTAAGTGTTATGTTAAGATCACTTTGTCAAACCACTCTGTAGGAGGTTCTCCTTCTGAGGCCTCACCTTCTGACCAAAGAGATGAACTAGCCTAAGACTTCTTCTTTCCGTTATTTAACGTCGGTCTCTGTTCCGCAATCTAGTGCCAATCACCAACGGACATCGATTGCCATCCATTGACGGCAATCGAATGTGCAGGAAGGCAGCTTCCACACCTGCGTAGGATATCGCACCCATTCAACAACACACATGGGCCGGGACCAACGGCTTTACTTCCCTTCCGAAGGAAGACGTGACCAGAGATTTTTATGCCTCAGAAAAATCCCACTGACCTCGGCTGGGATTGAACCCAGACCCATCGGGGTGTTAGAAAGCAGTCACGCTTACCACTACACCACCGGCGCCGGCGAACTAGCCTAAGGCTAAAAATCTCTAAAATAAAGATTAAAGAAAAAAAAAAAACTTTTTGACGTTTAATCATCCTTCTCTATCTAGCACACATGGATGAATGGACGGTTTGTTTTCCCACTAATCTGTTTTCCCCGGCCCCTTAAGCATTAAGACTGTTTTAAAATAATAGAGAGCTAATTTCGTTATCTTTCCCATGCAGAGTCCATGTCTAGACAGTTTTGAATGGAAATTGTCTGATAGCAAGGTTTGAATAGGTTATGTTCTTAATTACTAATTACAAAAAAGTGACATACTTACAACAGTGCGAGGTAAGATCGGCATGCTTTACCAAATAAGCTTTTTGCATTCAAAAATTTGGTTAAATTATATGTTTGCGGGAGTAAGTGAATAATGACGGTATTCATGATGATTAATAATGCATTAATTAGAAACACTGGTAACTATTTAGAATTTAGAATTCATCCGTGCTCCTCCGTCTCTGGCTCGTTAACTTTAATACACGCCTGTAGGTATGTAGGGGAATGAGTGGCATAGTGAACACGTGAAGCATAGTGAGCTTCCTGTGCTTTAGCCTTGGATTCCTTATGGTTCGAAACAAATTAATTGGTCATTAATCATTGCAATGGTAGTATTGAACCTACTACCAATTAATTTGTTTCAAACAATTAGAGGTTTGGGACTGGATTAAGGGATGCTCATTATACCCCACCTGCTCACTATGCCCCTCTAACCTCTACATAGAATTTGATTCATATTCATTAAACTTAATTGGTTAGTTAACTTTTTGCACAGTACATTAAGTGTTCAAAACAGTTATTGGATAAACAAAAATCAAATATCAAATATAATCAATAAGATGTAAAAATGTGGCTTAAAATGCTCGCAACAGCCAACAAGGGAAAGGGATTACTAGCGGAGTACGAATTGTAAATTTAAACCATCATAATTTTCAAACAAATGAGTGCCATTAGCAAAGCCAATCAAAATCAAAATCAATTCGCTCACCCCACACTGCTCTCCTTTGGCAAATTGTTTGATAGCACCATGTAGTTGTCCCCATGAATGACCGTCAGACCGATGGGAGCTCGGATCCCCGGTTCGTCGTAGCATGGAAACGCATGGCGTGCATCCGTCGAGGAAAACTGCGTCGTGGCAAGCCAGCGTGTTCTGCCGTCATCATCCAGATAGGACGATCGATAGAATCCGGCATTGTCTTCGCGGAGCTCACCGTTGTACTCAATCTCCAGGAAGTAGGTTCCATTGAGAATCACATCTGGTGGTGAAACTGTTACGAACTCCCTTTTCGGATCCAACGTAAAGCTGGAGTTGTCATCCAGAAGCACATGGTCTGAACCGGTCTCCAGCCTGGACCATAACTTAACGTGCGTGATCGTTGTTTTGCGGTAGTGTACAGTTATGCTACTGTTGCCTTCGTCCTTCACTACCAGTTCAATCTTCACTTTGCCATCGAATCTAAACTGTCGCGCACTGCCGTCCTCGTGGACGTACGTGGTCAACTCGAGGCCGTACCGTACCGGGTAGCTGTTGTTGGGCAGACGGTAGTTCTCACCGTCCACCTGGCCGCGGACCGAACACACCAAACACAGCACCGCAATTGCTGCCGGAGCCAATTTATCCATCCTAGCTGTTCAGCAGTCTTTTGAATACTAATCAACAAATGGATGCAGGCAATAAAATGTTCGTTAAAAAATCGGTTGTACTCCAACAATCGATGTGTTATCTCGTGTTGTCTCTTGTTGTTTTTTCCCTCACCATCCGAGTCCATATCAACCGCAGCCAGAGCTCTTCCATGGCTCTTGAGTCTGTATTGTTTGCGGAGGAATTGCATGAATCTGTGACCTTGTCGGACTTGACTTCATTTTTATTTTTTTGCGTTGAATGAGGCGTGATTTCAAAGGCCGGTGGGGAACTTACGGTATTTTTGAATAAGTCACATGTCAGGGCGGTTAAGTTTTTTTTTTTTGGAATGCGTCACTTCCATCAGCTAGCTTTCGTAGAACATTTCTCAGTGTATGACAGGGCCGCAATTTTATAACAATTCTACATGTATTGGCAGATTATCAGTTGTTGATAGCGGCGACGACAGCACTTTTCTGTCAAATTAGTCCTCAGTATTTGGTATAAATGCTTTTACGAACGACCTGAGTGCCGCGAGACGGGCAACAATTAGTATCAAGTGTTGTTGTTTGTACTTGTTTTGTTTCTTTTCGGACGGTTAACCCATACAGAAGAAAGTAGTATACTTTATTACTGCCACATAAATCACTGCGCGATGTCTGCAGGGTGTCAGCTGTCAGGGTTTGCACGTGTAACGAGCACACTAGATACAAAGTAGCGATCGTTTGTCAAAGTTCTGTTATTAGTTGTTGTGTCATGTGAAGGTTTTTGCTCGCAAACTGACCGGAAAGTATTGCATCCCAGTTGGAGAGTAACCCATCATCTCATCACGTGGTCGGAACGAAGATGCATAAATCCGATAATAAGATTAATTTACTGAAAACTTCCTGGTTTGCAAACGACAAGAGGTTTTCCCGGCTTCCCGTTGAATAGATGATTGGGATATCCTTTCTCCAGCTTCGTCCGCACGATTATAAACCGGGTTTCAAGTGCTACTGGAATGGGGAGGGAGTGAGGAAAAGATTTAATTAATTACTTCTCACATAATCGGTCCTAAATAAACAGATTGCCTCCGGTTCACGAGGCTACCTCGATGGTTAATCCCAGTCAGTTAGTCTATGGCTGTGGCCTGAAAGTTCTATCAACGAAAGCGGATGGTGTCTATTGAATCGTTTATGTTTAAAAATTGTTTTTTTTTAATACCCTTTTCAATCGTTAAGACAACCAATTTAGCTCAAACTGTAGACATAATTAAGCTCGCATAATAGACCCATTTTTGCGTAATAAGCTAATCGATTTTCAATCTCGTCCAATCTTGTTTCTATTTATAACTATTCAGTACATTGTAAAATTCAGATTTGTCGTGCACATCGCTTTTCCGTGGAGAGGTAAACTGTCTGGTGTCAAAATGTTTCATCCTCTGCCCATCCCGGGATTGCTCTCCAGTCCAGGGCCAGAAGACAAGTGCCGTTGATAAAGTTGATTCAATTTTGACACCCGTTTGATAATTTAGTTCATTTCACCGTACTGGCGTCGGTGGCTTTCAAACGCACATTGATTTATTGACATTCTGGTTTTATTCGTGCTACTCATACTTACTGCCGTCGTCAAATTTTTCAACAGCTACCAGCGAAGCAACGCAACAGAAGTTTGAAGTTGATTTGTACGAATTCATACACAGGAATTGGTAGAACGACCTGCGGGAAAATTTGCTTCCCGCGCCGATCGCAGAGTGATGAAAATTTGCAATCAATCACTGTTTGTATTTGCTATGTGGTGGTCGTCAATATCGTTTGAAATTGGGCGAAAGGTTGTACGCTGCTAGATTTTGCAGTTCTAGGTCGTGAGGGTAGATGGTGGATTTTACTGGTCCGGTTGATTGAGTGAATTGGAATATCTTTTGCTGGGATTGGCTGCTTGCAGAAATGGTCTGTATCTTTGTGTGCAGAACTAACGTGCTAACTCGATCTGATTTTCGATATAGCTCGAATATGCACCAAATAATCGGAACAATCCGCCTGAGTCCATCGTAAGTATTTTATCATATTATTGATTGCTTCTGCTGTGTGATGGATGATGAAATATACGTCAAAGCTGACTTCCAACAAATAGCACACGGCGAATGAGAACGACTCAAATTTGAGTTTAGTTCACTCATAATCGCCAAAAGTGCAGGAACTCAGCGATGAGTTAATTTGCCTCATGTTTTCCCAGGTTTTTCCAGGATTTTCCAGGGAAAAATTCCCGAATTTGAGAAAAGTAAAGATTGGATTCACTCAGTCTATTGGTACTACTCCGAGACAGAATAAAATTTTTGTCAATTTCCTCATTTTCCGGCAGATTTTTGAGGTTTTCCACAGGAAACCATAAGACAAATTTTACTCATCGCTGAGTTCCTGCACTTTTGGCGATTATGAGTGAACTAAACTCAAATTTGAGTCGTTCTCATTCGCCGTGCAGGATAGGAGTTTTACACTGAAAAGTTAAGTTCCAAGTGGATGATCGTTTCAAGAAAAAAAAAATGTCGAAATTTGCATCAAAATACCTTATTTGGCATCTGCACCTGTGGAAAAAGAAGTAAAATATTCGTCACAAACGGCACCATAAATGGTGAAATTTACAAAAATGAATGCCTCCAAAAACGTCTGCTGCCAATTTTTTGGCAGCACTGTGAAAAACCATTGTTTTGACAGGACTTAGCTTCATGTCACGATTTTAAAAGCGTGCTGGAATGGTATGAGGCTAACCCAAGGACATGAATCCACCGAACTGTCCAGAACTACGCCCAATCGAAACCTATTGGGCCATGATGAAGCGGGAACTCAGAAAGACCAAGGAGAATGTAAAACATGCAAATGACATGCGGAGGAAACACGACTGTACAAGCTCTTATGGATGGCGTGAAGCACCCTCAAAAATTGATCCTGCAAATTTGGTTTTTATCTGATAAATATGAGAAATTTGTGAGCAAATTAAATGTGTTGCAATTATATCGTGTTTGCCCTTTATGAATTTACCAACAGCACCAATAATAGGTGGCGAAGAACCATGAGGGGCGGAAAAATCGCTCTAATGTTCATGGACATCTACAAAATTGCCTTATTGAAAATTTTCTGAAACTCCATCAACTTCGTTCAAGTCCCATAATTACTTTTTTTTAAGTCCTACCAATTCGAACAAGAAATTAGAACCAGGAGTTGAAACAGTTGAAGTGTTTTACTACACTCGCTTCGTTGTCATGCGAGACAGTGTGTTTGTATTCGTACTCTCATGCTCTACAATCGTCTCTCTTACACAACATAAACAGTAGAGCAACATTCGATCAAAAATAAAATTATCAAATATCTATCAAATGACATGTGTGATTTCGTTCTAATTCATTCACTTCCATCGTCGATATCTCACAAATAATCAAGCTTGGGGCAACGGTCGGAGCAATAAAAACGGCATCATCCTCAATGAAGACCTGCAAGAGAGCCACTATACCATATTGGCCCCGGACTCTCCCACCCGGTTGAGTCGGTCTGGGGTCCATGCGACCATCGACATCTTCGTAAGCATCATGGGACACAACATCTCGCAACCTGTGGCATTCCAGGAGCTGAGCTCGGACCACTACCCGGTGGTGGCCGAAGTTGGATCCTCGGTAAACCGATTCGAAGCTTCCCGGCGCAACTACCATCGAGTCAACTGGGCGCAATATCAACACTGCGTCGACACAACCATCGACTACGATGTCCAACCGGGAACGTCGGAAAATGTTGACCGGTGTCTACAAACCATCGAGGAGGCAATTTCCCGGGCCAGTGAACAACACGTGCCAGTATCCAGACAGGTGAGTAACACTCTGAACCTTGACAGCCCTACCAAAGATCTCATTAGACTCCGTAACACCATTCGTAGGCAGTACCAGCGTACTGGCCTGCCTAACTTGAAGACCAATTGTAATCGATTAACAAAGATCATTCAGGCCAGGTTGGTGGATCTCAGAAATAACGATTTTGCTAGTAAGATCCGCTCTCTCCCAGATTGTGCTAAGCCCTTCTGGAAACTAACAAAAATTCTTAAAAACAAGCCTAGGCCCATTCCCCCACTGACCCCACTGGATCGTCCCGGCGACCCAGTGGTTCATCTGATAACTCCTGAAGAGAAGGCTGCCGCGATAGGTCAACGCTTCGTCAGCTCCCATAATCTCGGACAAAACATCGTCAGCCCTCATGAATCTGAGGTTGCTGAAAATGCAACCAATCTTCTTCAGATTCCTAACATTTTTCCAGAGGAATCCGAGATTACGGCTGACGAACCGTTGGCCTATATCAAATCATCTAAAAACATGAAGGCCCCAGGTTTCGACAACATCGTGAATCTGGAACTCAAACACTTGAGTTCCAGATTCTACAACCATCTGGCACTGATTTTTAATCAGTGCCTCAGACTGGGCTACTTCCCCTCGTGTTGGATGTCAGCTAAAGTCATACCCATCCGGAAACCTGGGAAGGATCCGTCCTCTCCTTCAAGTTATCGACCAATCAGCCTTCTCTCAGGGTTATCAAAACAGTTCGAAAGAGCACTGTACCACCGGCTCCTAACATCTGCCGATGAAAACAACTTGTTACTCGAGGAACAGTTTGGTTTTCGGAAAGGTCGTTCGACCGTCCACCAGCTGACTCGAGTAACAAACATTCTCAGACGGAACAAGTCTGTTTCGAAAACATCTGCCATGGCGTTGTTGGACGTTGAAAAAGTGTTCGACAATGTCTGGCATGATGGCCTGGTGTTCAAATTGCAGCAGTACGGTCTTCCAATCTTCCTAGTAAAGATCATAAATAACTATCTATCAGACAGGACGTTCCGAGTCTCTCTGAATGGCATCACATCGGATGCTTTCAACATCGGTGCCGGGGTTCCACAAGGAAGCATCCTTGGCCCCATCCTATTCAACCTGTTCACCTTCGATATGCTGGCTCTCCCTAGTGGATCGTTGTCTCTGTTCGCAGATGACACATCCATCGTCTACAAGGGTACGTTCATCAGAGCTCTGACTGCCAAACTTCAGAGAGGCCTGGACGTCCTGTCTGAATATTTCAACAGTTGGAAAATCCGTATCAACGCAGCAAAGACCCAGGTCATTATCTTTCCACACTCTAAATCTCCTAGACTTGTTCCGTCGGAGAATAACAAGATCTACCTGAACGGCACAGTGGTGGAATGGTCCAATGAGGTCGTGTACCTCGGGCTAACACTAG